GGGATAGGGGAGGGAGAGATCGGTTTAACCCCATTCGATAGTAGCACGCATCACCTACATGATTCCTCCATTGACTGACCCATATTCTCCTGCGAATCTTCTTTACACTACAATTTTATTTTCACGAGAGTCGGCAACGAGAAGCACCCGGTTTGCCCGGTTTATAAAAATCCAAACCACATATAATCAAATCGATTAAATAAAATAATATAAAAGGGAACTCACCACATTTTCTTTGTCACACCGACGATTAGATGGCAAAATATAATGTAAACCAGTGTGATTGAATATTCGTCATATTGTTAGAGAACAGCAGTACCAGGTATTTCCTCCCCTATAGATTCACCTCGAGTCACCGAATAAAATTATGTCACACGTGGTACAATGGCCAAGGGGCGGGGCGTACCGCGCGATTCGAGCACAACTTTCTATGTGTCACCAATAACAAATGTCAATAAAGCACTATAATAAATAATAAATAATGCCGGTTATGATTTTAAAGGGTGACTAGACTTTGGCCAAAATCGCCAACTACCAGGTGAAGATTTCGTTTATACCTGTAGACGAAGAGACGAGGAGATCACAGAGGTTGATTCACTCGACTATAATTATAAATAGATAGAGGCTTTTTCATGTCCCTCACTCTTCATTGGAGTATTAGAGAGTTAGAAAAAGGAGGAGATGTGAATGAATTTAGTGGCATGTATTAAGTTGGTTGGTCCTCGGGTTTGTCACTTTGGCAATCCAATCAACCCCCTGTGCAGGCACTCTGTCACTTTATCCACCACTTGTACCACGTAAGAGCACTCAAGTTATTCTCGGGATGTACCTATCGCGTCCCAGAAATTTCACGCCTTTTCATTGAATCGAGATTTTTTTTTGACAGCATGATTTTTTATGATTTTTATGAGAGCATTTATGAAGCAGCGCAGTTGGGATGCGTCTGGCTGCTTGACTTTTCTGAAGTAAAGACTTGTCCAGTTTGGTGGTTTGATGATGGATTAAAGTTGTTGGATTGCAAATGCCCAACTCCCTCGATTTTACGATTTACACGACCCACCCTCTTGCCACTAGTCACCTTTATTCCACACGCGCAACATACAACACAACAGACTCAGTGTACAATTCTCATGCCTTTATATATGTACAACCAGCAGCCACAACCAGCTCAAACCTCAGCTCAAACCTCAATCGCAGACCAACTCTCCGCTTTCATATATTGGATGACACCGACGACGTCCAGGGGGTTTGAGTGACCCCATCGGTATCGTAGCACCTCATCTCAAGAGAGAGAGGGCGCCACACGCAATGCTGGGGTGTCCGCCCGTCAGCTAACTCGGTAACTGACTCAGTACTCTCAGTAGAAGTCCCGCTGCCAGAGGGACTCAAAGAGGATTGACCAAAGTATAGGCTCAGCTTCGTACTCTGCCTTATTCACGGGTACGGCGTACGGTCTCTCTAATTTAGTCCCGCCACCGCCACGCCGAAATGTCCGTGTTCTACTTTTGCCCATAAGCGTTGCTGACCTCCCCTATAATCTCTCATTCGATACACTCACAGTCGCCATTTTTATTTCTTTTGACTTTCTTCAATTTGATTTTTGAGCGGTAGCCATTATGCTCTCCTTTATCTATATAATAAAGGATTGGCATACATCGTCATCACATCGAACAAACATCCCCAACACCTCGAACAAATATCTCCCCCTTCATTATAGCAGAAGATTTATATGAGGCGGTGATTAATGAATAACTATCCAAACATCAATAATCACTCGCATAAAACATTAGCAAATGTCCAGACTAGGAGCAGCTCCCCTATTTTCAATCAGCTGGTTGCTGTCATATGTGTGTCAGTTTGTCATTGTGTACTCTTCGCACCAAATGGCGCTGTCATTTGGAGTTCTCAGTAGATATCCGCCACACGGTACCACTCACTGCCACTCACTCTGTACTCTCACATATAGTTTAATTGAATAGATAGTTGTCGTATCAGTTTTCCTACAACTCTGGCTATCAGCGTTGACAACCTGGAAATTCTATTGTTGATTATTTCATCAATGCCAGTACCACTAGATCATTGCGGATGTGAGCATCACAGTGGTGAGTTTCGCTGCCCTCTAGCCTCAGATAATCAGTGTTCCACAACAACGCCGTGATTCTACTCGAGGTATTGGATTTTACATACGACGACGACATCGAAGACCAAGGGGGATATGGCATCAACAAGGAAAATGGCTGCTAGCAGTGGCAATGACAGGAGTTATCCGGAGGACCGTGCGCGTGGCAGCAATTCATTGAGAAGCACAAATAATACATGGAGCCAAGTGTCTGATAGTGCTGATGAACACGAGCACAGTCCATTCGCTCATAGGCCTGCTAATCTTTCTAGGTATGTCATTTTTATAATGCAAATTCAACTAATTCATTCCAGAGCAAATTCCACTTTTGTTTTTTCCTTTGTTAGCATAACTCCATGACGATGTCAATCGATTAATCTCCAATGAAGGATAGTCATCACATGTATTATCATTTATACGAATTATACTGATTGAAAAATTATTTATGCATATCAACTATCGTGATAAATATGGTTTGTCAATTTTAATTGTTATTTTGAAAAACATCTGACGTCCGAGATAATGAATCTGGTCTCTGAATAAACTGCATTAAACCAGTAATGAGATAGAGAAAAAAAATACCACTCGCTCGTTAGAACGAGGTGAAAGCTGCAAAAATATGTCTGTAGTATTTATTATTTCACCGTTAATCATCCATAATTAAGTTCATCGACAAATGAACTCTAGAATTTTTATCTAAGTACCTCAGAAAGGGAACTAAAAAATCCCCTTGGATAGTGAATATGCGTCGGTTATAAATTATATTCTATCTATGCAATCGATGAATTTTCCAAATTCTCGGAGTGTGCAGAAAGATCAGATAATTAATAAACACATTCGATTTTTCATTAATTAATAATTAATAAAAATAAATAAATTTTTATACAATTTTATAAATAGATTGGGTTACGTTAATTCAATGCCGTTCAATTCTCTACAGGGATGGAATAATCGATGAGCCTCATTACGACGCAGTCGCTTATGCCGAAGATAAGATGCGTCGCCATCTGCGATTCTTCTTTATGAATCCTATTGAAAAATGGCAGGCCCGTCGTCGTGTTCCCTATAAATTCATCGTCCAAGTGATCAAGATTATTCTAGTCACCGTGCAGCTCTGTCTTTTCGCTCACAACAACTACATGCACGTTAATTACACGTGGGACAACAAAATAGCCTTTTCCCATCTGTTCCTGCTGGGTTGGGATGCTACCCAAGAGGTGATTATCTTTGATAAGAAGAAAACAAATTTTTCATTTCATTTCACGATGCTTGATAAATTACCTGGACGTAGTAATTTATTTTTTCATTGAAACAATCGATCAAATGGTATAATGGTATCACTAACATACATTTGCTTTATTACCGCTAAAAATCAATGGTTTGTTCTAATGGCAATGTTTCAATGGATAAATTAATGCTATAATGCTTTAATACTACTTTAACATTTAGCCCGGATCATCCGATAAAACTAATCATTCAGCGAACTCATGGCCCGTTATCAGTTGTAGAGTACTATCACTATTCCCTGTTGATTCAGTCTCCTTATTCATCAAGTTGTTAATCTCAGAGTGATTATCACGTATCAATTGATATCACTGATAATCTATTTTAGGTACCAGCCTATCCCCCAACAACAGCACCACTGGCTCTCTACAAGCAAGATGAATTCTATGCAACAATTGATTACGCATTAAGAGGATATTATAATCTCAGTAACGCTATTGGCTCCTACTCATATACCGAGGAGGATAACTCCATTGGCCGAGTTGATTTATGTCTGTACCAGTACAAAGAAGGTACCATATTTGGTTTTAACGAGAGCTATGTATTTAACAACGAGATAGAGAAGATTTGTATTCAGATAAACCACACCTTCTACGGTGTCCCTACAATTCAAGCAAAGAAACTACTGGTGGAAAAAAAAATTATCATCAATTTCTCCGCTTTGGTAAAGGCAGAGCTTAAATTTGCTGTAAAAACGGTGAATTTAAAGGCAGCAGGACCGATAACACCGCCTGATTGCTATCAATTCGATATCAAGATCCTTCTAGATAATAGTGATTTTGATGGGCAAATGCTACTATCTCTAGATGCGGAATCCAACAGGTTGCAATGCAAAGGTGATACGAGGTACATTACTGATAACAGGATTGACTCTGCATTGAGAACACTCCTCAATCTATTTGTCATATCTATTTGCACCATCTCCTTGGGGTTGTGCTCCAGAGCCATCTATAGGGCGCAACTTCTAAAGTTCGATACAATCCGATTCTTTAAGAAGATGTATGGGAAGTCATTGAGCTTTGAGGGGCGCCTCGAGTTTCTCAATATGTGGTACATTATGATTATTATCAACGATCTGCTGATTATCGTAGGCTCGGCAATCAAGGAACAAATCGAGAGAAAGTATTTTGGTAGTGACCACTGGAACATCTGCAGTATTTTTCTGGGCACGGGCAATCTGCTAGTGTGGTTTGGAGTCCTCAGATATCTCGGATTTTTCAAGACTTACAATGTTGTCATTCTCACCTTGAAGAAGGCAGCACCCAAAGTCGCAAGATTCCTGGTGTGTGCCATTCTTATTTATGCTGGTTTTACATTTTGTGGGTGGCTCACTTTGGGTCCCTATCACCTCAAGTTTAGAAGCCTCGCCACCACCTCCGAATGCCTCTTCGCTCTCATCAATGGAGATGAACTCTTCGCAACTTTCTCCATTACATCTTTTAAATCTCCACTCCTCTGGTGGTATTCCCGAATCTATCTCTACACTTTCATCTCACTTTATATCTATGTGGTACTGAGTCTCTTTATTTCCGTTATTATGGATGCCTATGATACCATTAAAGTGTACTATCGCGACGGCTTTCCCAAAAATGATCTCCAGGCATTTATTGCTGTCTGCACCGATGAGGCATCCAGCGGTGTTTTTCGTCAGGAATCCGGTGGAAATAATTTCAGTGAATTTTTTGAAAAATTTTGCTGCTGTCGGAAAAGACCCTGTGGCTCTTTCTCAGGGACTAAAAATGCAGATACACCAAATAAGTCCGATGAAAGTTGCAGCGCAATCTGTATATAGTAGGCTCATTGAGAAAGGGGCCAAAGCGAGGTGCTATGGATCGATTTTGTAATTCAGAAAATAATTTTTGTAGTTGGGAGGAGGAGGAGGCGAAGGGCTGTTGGAAGGCTGATTGATGGCTTCAGTGTTCATCTACTGTGAATTAGTTGGTGAAATAAGTGAGTTTTTCAAAGAAATAAATTTTTATTATCGGATGGACAAAATGTTACATGATTGTCGTAAATTGACCCCAGTACAAAAGCATTCAGCCCTGAAAACAAAAAAAATTGTTAAAAAAAATTGTTAAAACTGCCACATTAACTTCGTTTGCATCTTGTCCGTGTTGCAAATGGTCAGCGAATGGCCAACAAATAGTATTTAATTCGATAAATTAATGTGATATTAGCGCGAAATAATAACACCAGCAAAGTGTGCATCAACCACCTCGTAAATTCACTGACGCCTTCGATTTTCTTGGATATCAAAATAACATTATATTGGGGATATTAAAATATCAATAGTACAACATCTACTTTGTGATTGATTATAACGTCTCAATGCTCACAAAAGGCTTCCGTATGTTGCACAAAGCACATTTGGGAAGTAACAAATGAGGTGTAATCCAGTGTGAATTATTGAGTGTAGAGAATTATACACTGCTCGATTCAAACCATGTACCTCTCATTATATCTCGTTTTCGACCGCCAAAACAATGATAAATATATATTTTTCTTATATATTATGAAATTGCAGCCTTATTTCGTTATTTGCGTGGGCAGAATTTTATTTATTATTATTATTAGTATTATTATATTTTTTAAAAATAATGTGTAGAGAGAATCGAGGAGAGATAAAGGGATGGATTTTATTTTCAACAAAAGCAGTTTGAATTGTTACCATTAAATGTATCATTTTATATTTGCTCCATTGTAAAATGTATGTAGTTTTTTTTATGTAAATAAACATAAAATTTTTTTCAATGCTTCTCAAGCTTATGTCAACGAAAGGAATCAACGAAGCGAATCATTCAATCGCGCAGAACCGCTAAGGGAATGAGAAAGTTATAAAGAAGTATTAATTGTACCAAATCTGCAGCAATGAATAATTCGTATTGATAATTTTATACTCATTAAAAGCTTTTGTTGAAGATCTCACAAATTTTATTGATACAATTAAAATCAATAAATTGCATTTTTATGAAGTATTTATTTTCCATCTTGTTAAACTTACTTCAACCATTTCCAAATTTCATTTCACAACAAATAATTGGAGATTATTTTTTAATATGATATTATACAACTGTTAGGGCGAAACCTAATGGATGGGCCGAATGAACAATGTTGGGGTGCTGCCAAGTATACGTACCGGCCTCAATTAATCAGATTGCGTATACGCGTATTGCCGTTTAAATTACATAGAGACAGCATCCATCAAACAAATTCTTTAAAATTCGTTTAATAAATCCACCAGAGTCGTTAACGAATACATTATTTGCTAAATCAAGTTTCAGTTTGGGAGTTTCATCCACTATTTTCCTAAAAATTGTAATTGAGCATGGAAAATGCTTGGCGGCTTGGCAACGATGAAACGTTGAGAGTTTCAAGACGAAGTGTTTAATTCGAATGGTAAATTCCACTGAATCAAGAGATCACGAGATGATAATTATTGGCGGAGGAGCGCCTTTTATTATAAAAGTGTTAATTTCGTTTGCACCAAGGGAGATTAACCCCCTCCCGGCAATAAATACTTGGGGCAATGATTTTTTATTGAAATTTTCAACAAGTAAATTTAGCCAAAGTAGCAGCTGGTGCTGATAAAATATACATTTTTTGTCAGGGTCATCATCGGCCCAGCTTGCTGTGCGGAATGATTAATCTCCTCTCAATTGATTCTCGACTTTGGCGTTAGAGACGTCGGTTGAAATTAAAAATAACCCCGTTGTGGCCATCGATTATTATTAGACGAACTTTCGGGTGCAAGTGATCGAGTTCACGAGCTCCTAAAGTTGAAGTCGAAATTTACATTACATCCGACCAAAGGGAAAAGTATTCTTCGCATTATATACGCAATAATGAAAACAACAAGGGATTTTAGTATTGTGCAAGTGGTCCTTATACTTGATTGCACTTGGTTCGTGTTATAATTTAATTGAGGGTAGTTTCCGTTAAAATCACCCATTTGATTAGTCTCACGATGGATAGAATGGAAATGATTGAAAGAGGAAAGGCTGAGGCAATCGCCGATACAAAGAGAGATTAAGAGGAGGATTGGGAGGCGAGGGGAGGACGTCGCGACGTCTTAGAGCTGGCATTGGTACCGCAGTCTCGAGATAGCCGTCGAGTTGTTTATATCCACCTCCAATTTATTCGTGTACTTCGCCTGCTACCTTACCTTAACTCGTGTCAATAATTTTTCCCTTTATTTATACTAAATCGTTATCTGGAATTTGTGTGAATACCGTGACAGAAGAGAAGTCGAGGTGAGTTTATATAAATCATTTTTTCTTCCCTCTGATTTTGAGAGGAGCTTCATAGAAACTTTCATACACTTCATCTTTAGTTCGTTAATGTTTCTATTTTTATTCGCACATTGCATGTATAGCGGCTAGCGTCGCTTCACGAATGTATCTAAAGTCTATGTGAAAATATTCACTGAATCCCTAATGAATCAATCAATCAATTCAAAATCCATACCGCAAGGTGATGCGCACCCGCAGTCTAAACTTTCTCTATCTTTGTTCTATTTTTAATGAAACAATTGAAAATTCATACCCTGAATGAGGAGCTAGCTTAACTAGCTAAGATTTTTTTAATATATTTGGCGAACATGCAAAATAGATCGTTTTAAATAGACAATGACCGTTGAAATCGCAACGCGATGACAGGTGAATCAGCTGGTTGAGTCTAGCTTCTTCCTAGGCTCAATCATTTGGAAAATATTGTCCGAGATCGAGCTTGTGCATACATTATAGCTCTCTTCTTCTTTTTTTCTCTGTGTATTAATGAAAAATTATGAATAGTAAGTGTGGATCGAGGTATTTGGGTGACACAATTGTTAGAGCCTTGAGTTCCAGTTCGGTCATCTCCATGTGGAAGGCCCCAAAATTATCCAAAAATAGCCTGGAAATGGAAATAGATCAAGATCTCAAGTGCAACCAATCATCCGGGAGATAAATTGAAAGTCTTGGCAATATTATAAATTATTAAATTGTCGCATCGGAATTGCATTAACAACCGATAAATATCGAAATAACGTGTTTTTTTTTTTTTTTTTTTTTTTTTTATAATCAATATAACGTGTGTGATGAATAGGTGATGAATGTCAGTCGCCAAAGTAAAATGTAAAATGAACCGTTTCAACAGGGAATTTTGAGGTGGCAGCACTACCTCGCCTTGTTGTCCTACCCATATAAGTTTATTTATAAATTCAAATATACCAATCTGCTATGCCGACATACTGTTAAATCTTCAAGCTTAACTTCTTCATTCATATATTTTCAGAATAATGCCCTAATAATTTACCATGGCATCGAAAGATTCCCTAACAACATCTTCAAGTAAACGAAAAAAAGGTAAAATACTATGATTGATATAATTCCTTGCATTTCTCAAATTATATATTTTTTTTCAACCGATGATTTAAATGCTGCATGAAAGCATTGCATTTTCCCAATAAAAAGATCCTTTTTAATTCTCACCTCCAATAAATGCAGTTTTTTTATTTGATAAATAAACGCAGTTTTATTATTTGAGATAGAAAACTGTATCGATATTATAAGAGAAAAATAAATAAAATATAATGGGAAAATATTGTAGAATTTTCATCGGAGGTGAGTCGAGTGTTAATGAGCGCAAGTACCGTTAGCAATGAAAAACTGCCGATCGGAATCATCGATACTGAAGAGGTAAGTCCTCGTGTCATCTGAGTAAATATTTTTTAGTGGAAAAAATTTTCAGCAAAAAGAACTAATCGCGCATCAAGCAAATTCAACAGATTTAGCAGAATCTACGTATGACGACTCATCTCAGGATATTCATACAATGGGTGCTTTATCGCTTCACTCTTTACTGATTGTAAATAAAAGAGGAGGAAACTTTGGTTTCGGAGTAGTCGCTAAAAAATCTGGTGGTATGCCAGATTTTTTTAGTCAACTTTGAATTGTCATCGTCGGGGGCTGAAGGAAGCTCTCGATCATGACGATGGATGAACAACTTAGAGATGAATACCGCAATGTTTTCCGAAGTTAATTTCATTTGAGAATGATATAACTGTCGAGGAAATAAAACAGTAATTGCGGTTGTTATTTGTAGTTGTCACGATTCCATTGAAACTTCAAATTGAAAACTTTTACTACCAATATGATAGATTTACACAATTGAGTATTCATTTGTCATTAAGTTTAATATATTTTAATGTTTTGTTCGATTGCCAGTCAAGTGTGAAAAATGAGGTATGTACTGTGTACTGCCTAATCAAATTATTTCAGAATTTGACATGCAATGTCCTTATTGTACAAAAAAAACTATCAAAGAAAAATAATGAATGACGATGGAGAATTGTGAGCCAGCCAGTGACAGCCAGTGACAGCCAGTGACAGCCAGTGACAGCCAGTGACAGTCAGTGACAGTCAGTGTTTTTCAAAATAAAACAAATTCTTGTGAATTATGAATGATGATTTCTCCCCAATCACATTAATCCTTATTAAACGTGGCATTCTGCAAAGTGGAGCATACAACAATTCAACAATCACCATAATTTTAATCTCATGTTTCCTAAAAACATAGACAGGCGATCCTCCTGAAGAGGTAGAGATGGAGGAGCAAGGAGGGTAGCTATTTCTGGTTGAGGGGAGAAGTGTGAGTTAACTCGGTCTTACTCGGGCACTATACGTTCTTTTAGGCACTTGGTTAACCCGCCTCTGGGTAGTCTGCCGTTTGCCACGGCATCGTCATACACTTTTCCTCCAACCGTCTTATACAACCGTAAAGCCACTCCGTACCGCCACGAGGTACAGATGTACTGAGGAGGGATCCATCGTTCCTTCCCATTCCAACCCTTAAAACCAGTGAAAAGTGCATAATTTTCATCATAATACAATGAAAAAAGAAAAGATGCAAAAATGAAGAAAATTTTGCCGTGTGTCGTAAAAGTGAATAAAATTGTTATAAACCAGTAGCTATTGATCTAAATAACTACCACAAACGATAGACTGAAGACTGAATTTTCCAAAGTGCGCCACCAAAATAGATGTGATGTATTTCCATGTATTGTAGGAGTCATCCACGTAAAGTTGACTGAACTTTCACCACAGCAGTATATTACAGTTCATATTCCATACAAAAAAAGCCAAATATATTATTAGAAAAAACAATGGTGGAAAGTGTTCGTGTCAAATTGTCCATAAATTTCTTCTTCTTTTTGTTTGTCTCTCTCTCTCTCTCTCTCTTGCCACACTTTATTTGCGATTCAGTGGCTGAATGCGATTCAGTGGCCGAATTCCAAAACAATAATGAATGAATACAGAATCCTAATATATTAAGTCTGACAGGCGCTTCTGACTCATTGTGCTCCCGAATTAAAAATATAATATTGTATTATAAAAGATGGAAAATTTTCATCGGATGTTAAAATCATTAATGGATGCTAAAATAATTCAGGAGAAAAGTCATTGAGAAAATTACGAGTTTCGGTTTCGGTTAGGAGTTAGCCGTTGAAATATTTAAGTGCAGAAGCCGATAGTATGGCAGCGTAGAGTTCATGAATTGGGGGTAGTTAAGAAATCGGAGGAATCCAAGGATTATCTTCGAATAGAAATGAGTGTGGCGCTGAAAATTTGAAATATTTCAGTGTGAATAAGGAGGAATAAGGAGAAATGTCGTTCTGCAGGATAACGGGGAGGAGCCGGGGCCTCCCCAAGCCCAATTACTTTCCATTACTGCCTCCAATAAGTCCAGCTGATGCCAAACGATTTTGTCGAATAACTGGTAAGTCGTACGGTTTGCCGACACACCATTACATTCCCGTGCTACTGGGTGTGCACAATAGTGACAAATCCAAATGTCGGATAACAAATAATTCTGCACTGGGTTCGCACCATTACACCGCCGGGCTTATTCTCGGTGAAAAAAAGAAGCACGTCGTCATCAAGGACTACCGCTATGTATTTCCGGTGTTGGAAGGAGATGACGAACAACAGAGAGCCCTGAGGGATCTTCTTGAGAGGAAAAAATTCTCCTCGGAGATGGGTGAGAAAGTGGAGGAGGAGAAGATGAAGTTTGTATACACGGTACAAGAGAGGAGGTGTAGCCTAGTCTTTCCAGCTAGTTTAGAGGCTGCTGTCAGGGACGGTGATGTAAGCGATGTGATGTTGTCAAGGGACTGTGATACCGTTCTACTGAGACTTAAGCAGGGCCGCAATGTCTCGGTTGATTTCAAGGAACTCGATGATTTTGATGATTTGTATGAGGGCCTAGGGACCCACGAGCAAGTAATCAAGGAACGAGAGAGGCTCGAGACTGAGGCTAAAAAGAGGAGGAAACGAGCTGCACCTAAACTCAATTATGCCAAGAAGATATTCGAGGATAAGGAGATGGCTGATGATGAGGTCTTTCTTATCGAACAATTAAACAAGGCAAAGCAGCTCGAGCTGAGGAGGAGCAAGGAGCATGCTAACGAGGAGGCAACTCACTGGAAAAATGTCAAACTCGATGATATAATCGGGAAATCGGGAGAGAGACAGTTAACAATTGTCAATGAGAACCACGAGAGTTTCATTGATCCGATAATAAAGACGTGTAATTGGACTGATATTCAGAGTAATATTGGCACAATTGATGCAACTCCCATTGTCACCGAGCTACCCAGTGCGATTAGCATTCCTCCAGAGGTGATTGATCTCGAGGCAGGGGAAATTGGGGTGGTCACATTACCCATATCCCAAGAGACTGGAGGATTTGAGACAGTATCTATTATTAAGCCTCTGACGCCGTTAGAAGTTGAAATTAATCCGATAATTCAGAGATTATTGCTCAATCTTCCTCCAGAAAAACTTGATGAAACCACGGGTGTTCGAGAGAGGCTGCTGATCGCTGGTGAGCAAGCCCTTGAGGAACTGCCGAGAGTTAAGGAAATTCCAGAGATTGTGAGGAATGTGCAGAATGGATCAAAGCAACAAGTTCATAAAATCAAGGGTCTCAAGGTAGATATTGAATCGGCGCAGCGATTCGTCGCAGGACAGACGCTCGAGACTCCAAGTGGTTCGGTTTTCGTTCCTGGAGAAACCCTGCAAACCCCTCAAGGGCCAACCTTCGTTCCAGGATTCACTGTTCATACTCCAGAGGGGCCTTTGCTCATCCCTGGACAGATCGTTACCATTTCAGAAAATGGAGGGCAAATTCCAGTGTTCATCGCTGGACAAACGTTGGAGACGAAAGGTGGGTGGAGATTCGTTCAGGGTCAGACGATCCATATGAATGAGAGGGGGCGATTTGTGCCGGGACAGACAATACTCACGGAAGAAGGTCCCAAATTCGTTGCTGGACAAATTGCCATTGGGGGGAATAGATTTGTGCCGGGACAAACGGTTCTGACCGACTCGGGTGGTATATTTACGCCAGGACAGACTATCGCACAAAATCGCGAGCACATATTCATACCGGGGCAGAGTGCAAAGATTAACGACAAATGGCAGTTCATCTCCGGACAATGTTTGCTTACATCCAACGGAGAACATATCTTTACTCCTGGAAGGACTATGAAAACATCAGGGGGCATGCAATTTGTCACTGGGCAAAATCTCACTACAAATAAACAAACTGAACAAGTAAATTTCATTCCCGGAATCACAGTGGACACACCACACGGTAAAACATTCATTCCTGGCACCACTCTGGAGACTCCAGTAGGGAAAAAATTCGTTGAGGGAATGATTGTGAATACGAAGGCGAAAGGAGAAAGGTTCGTTGCGGGACGAGCAATCTCCGGACCCAGTGGTTTTGAATTTGCTGCAGCCAAGTCCGTCGCTGACATAACATTTTTGAAGCCCGGACCGATTGGACTTGCAGTGAATTCCAAAACAGCAAGCGTTTTTTCCCTCTTACACCAAGAAGAGATATACGGTCACATGATTCAAACTGAAAACGGCGTCGAGTTCATTCCTGAGACGCTTGGAAAATCTCCCAAAGGTACACGCATTGTTCCCGGACAATTGGTTAGAGGGGAAAAGGAAGGGCCCCGGTTTGTCCCTGGAGTGATGACCGAGGAAGGATTTCTCCCAGGTCAGACAGTTTTAACTGAGAAGGGAGAGCAGTTTGTGCCTGGTCAAGTGGTGGAGACGAGTTCTGGGCCCAAGTTTGTACCCGGAAGGATGGTGAATACCCGGAGTGGACCAAAATTCGTGCCCGGTCAGACTGTGGAAACTGTCGAGGGGCCGCGTTTTCTTCCTGGACAGATAGTTCAGACGAAAGTTGGGCCGACTTTCATTCCCGGCCAGGTTATATCCATAGAGGATAAAGGCTCGAGATTTGTTCCTGGACAGGTAATCGACACTCCAGATGGTCCGCGTTTCGTTCCCGGTTGTGTCGTTGAATCTGGAATATTAGGAGTGACCTTTGTACCCGGACAAATGGTACAGACAGAGGAGGGACCGCGGTTTGTTGCTCCGGACTTGACGGACACAGCCGAGGGAGAAATGGAGTTCTCCGTTCAGGGTTTCGAAGTGACCCCTGAGGAACTCGGATTACTTCGGCTTTCGCAATCCCACTGCAATGGTGCAGAGCAAAGCGGAGAGCCTAGCATTGACGCGAGACTTCTCCGACAATTATCAGAAGCTGGAATGTCAATTGGCCGAAAGATATCAGCCAATGTACCCAGTGTCGGCGTCGACGGAGATACTACAGCGATGGTACTTGAGAACGCCCTTACAATCGTTGAAAACCTCGGACTCCTCGGGGACTCGGCAGTAAAAATGGCCCAAATTGTGTCAACTGTCTCCCAATTAGCCTACAGCATCATCAAGCAATATTACAACGGAGAAAAGCTCAACTTGGAGAATGTGTGCAATGGCAGAGCGTTCATGGTTACCAATGGACAAACCCATCACGATCACGAACATATCAATTGGATGAATGAAGCTATTAAAACAGCGATAGCTGCTGCCGTTCTGGCTATAGCCGATGATCCTCGTGAAAATGGAGAAGGAAAGCCGGATAATAACATATTGTCATCAATCAGTGAGGCTTTCATGGTAGCCCTTGGCAAAAATTCCATCTCGATTGATGAGGCAGTGAACCAAGCGCTAAAAATATTACTTATACCTCACAATAGAAAGAGCCTAAGTGAGAGCACCATTTTCCAACTTTTTAAATTACGTAACAACAAGATTGACATTCTCAAGTCAACGGTAGTGGAGCACTCGTTGAAGGATGATGTAGTCCTGGAGAGATTGTCAGCGGTCCTTGAGGAGGAGCAGGGAAACGAGGTGCTCGGTTCGGCGTTTCGAAAAGTCTCGGAGGGAAATCCAGAGCTGGTATCGAGCGTTTTGAAGAAAGTCTCGCAGGAAGTGGCAGCACTCTCGTCGGAAAAAGAAGCAGCGGAGAGCGTCCATAAGGCGATCGTAGACGCGGTTCGAGAATCCAGTGAACTTCAAGTACGAAAATTGTTGGACGACAAAGGTATACATGTGAGAGAGCTCATTCTACAGGCGGTGGGTTTAGCGAGGGCTCTGGGTATGTCCTCGACGGCCACCAGTCTCCTTAATGTCATTAGCGACGAAAAATCTACACGAGCATTGGCCGGGGACAAAGTTACTTTGGATATTCTCAAGAGATTAACAGTAATGCGAAAACTCGCGGAAACTCGTCCTCAGTTTGTTGCAGCCCTGAGAAATCTCAGTAGCGATCCGGAGCTCGCTAAAACCGATCCACAATTGAGAACACTTGTCCGGGAGAGCGCAGCCTTGATGATTGTCCCTGAGGGTATACCTCTACAATCCTCCGGGGATATTCCGACAGCGCTACTTCATGCAGAGAATAGTCTCGCCATCGAGGACTTTTTCATTAGAAGAAATCAAAAGCCATCAACGATTTTTATGATACTTAAGAAGGGTTTCCAGACCGTCGTTCCGAGGGATGCATCACGCGCTGTTCTCACTGGACAGGTCGCTTACACGGTTCTCGATGAGAATGGAATATCCCACTTTGAGCCGCTTCATGTTTTCTCCGCCCTCAAGCTCAATAAACCCTCGGCCCATCGTTTCTCCATGTATGCCATTCCTGTTGCTGGAGAGGAGGATTACGAGGGGGAAACCAGCTTGACAACTTCCTTTACTTCGACTAATGCCAGAGAATCGAGTGCCGGGATTCATTTCACCGATAGAACATTGGAGAATTGGTTAAGTAGAGAAAATACTCCTAGCCTGAGAAGACGGAGCAGTGGCAATCCGGAGGGGGCTTATCAGAATGGGGTAAATTGTGGGGCAATTTTTTATTTTTCTCTCTCTTCCTTTAGGCAATTGGAAATTCACCCAAATTCACCCAAAGACTTTTCAAATGAAGAGTCTTCTATAAATGGAAATTGTCGACAATTATTGAGACTGCGATTCAATATATTTTTTCAACTCTCCTCACAACGATAAAATAATATGTAAAACTTGACATTATTTATCAAATATTGTATTGAATTCTTCTATGTTTTTGTTTTTTTGCATCGATGTCAATTTGAAATAATGCAATCATTCAAAAAATTCATAGGATTTTTATTTATTGCGGATATTCAATAGAAAAAGTCAATTGATTTGAATTGTTCAATACTAGTATTTTCTAGCGAATATCGTAAGGATAAAAATATTCAGTGATTATGTACATTTTCAGAAATCGGATAATTTCGTGGTGGTGAAGGATTATGTATCAGAAACGGACAACGATTTCTCTGTTACTGTCGGCGACATCGTCGAAGCAGTTGATATTCAAGACGACCTGACCAAGTGAGAACCAACACAATTCAACACAAATGCTCTTATATTTTTTCTCAATTTTCTCTATAATTACGTTAATTGTTACGAATGTGCGCAAAATGTTCTGACTCATGTAGTTTCCACGTTTGCACCGTGTGATGACTATTTTGGTCCGCTCTATTCCGAGCACTGCTAAAATTAACCATCAAGCAATAGAGCATATTAGTAAACTGTTCAGCATGATAAAAAAAAAAAAAAAAAAAAAAATACAGTCATAGGCAAGTGAATGAAGGTTTTCAATTTAATGACAAGAAACGCTGTGGAAATACGTTTCCTATTTGCTTCACAATAAAACATGTTCTTCGTAGAACATATCTCGACATAATAATTAATATTTTCAAATACAATCGCCTAAATTCACTATTCCATGGGAATTGCGTTGTCATTGCCTAAAAACCGATAGAATACAACAGATGATAATGGGTATAACTCATAACAGGTGCTCACGACATGCCCCATCAGTCTAAATTCCCCGAGTATTTGCGCAAGTTAATATAGAACAGTGGAAAGTTTGCATCAACGGAGGGAGATGATAAAAAATGTTCAATAAAAAGTCCAAGATCATTGGCCTCCACGGAAAATAGATGAGTTCATCCCGTTCACTCACTCATTCCAAAAATTTCACCATATTTCTATAAATAGATCCCTGAGATTTATCATAATCTGAGAATAAAATAAAATAGTGAATAAGAAATTTCGACTAGAAGTTGAAAATATATTTGAAATATCCTCTTGGAAAGACTTTTGCCGAAAGTAATGAGAGTCATTGTGTGGAGGTTGCGTTTGTTAGTTGCCAGTAGATCTTCCAGCTATTCTATTTCTGAGTGGCATGAGTACATTATATGGCCAGTTATGTCACACATGGTTTTAGCTTGAACGACTGACTGACTGTGTTCCTCTGAGAATTTTCACTAGTGCTTGATAAATTTTCATCTAATGAGAGCAACGAGCTTTCCAATGAGCTTAAGCTCAAGGACTAACGGCTTGGAGTTTGAATGAGTATTGAGAATATGAATATGAGAATATTGCAGGAGATCTAGGATGGATCCTGATCTGGAGATAGGGAAGGTTGAAGCGTGTCTGGATAGTTCGGCCGCTCGTCACAAGCTATCAGTGAGACCAAGAAGAAGACACACTGATTTGCGGGCTAGGGGCGTCGTCAGGTCGATATCGGACTCTAATATTCAGAGGTAAGGTCTGGGTGTGAGATGGCAAGGATTGTGATGATGGACGGCGAGAATAGACAGTGTCAACGAGCCGATCGTCAGTTGGAAATTGTCGAGTTGTGGGTGCAAGTGTCGGTATGCTACACGCACAGAAGCTACTTGAGTGAATTCGAATGATTGAATTAAGAGACAAAGCAATAAAATCTCACATAGCGTGTGCGGGAGGAACTTGAAAATGACAAATAAGTTTTCAACCATTCAACCACATATTAAACGGACAGGTGGTTTCAATCTAGGAGTTCAGAAAACGTTGAACCCTTGGGAACAATGAGAGTGTCTTTTTCGTTGAATTTTTGTTACAATAGAGTTTAGCATTAGCATTATTAAATAGCGGGCCACTTGAAAATTTGAAAATTTCACACAATTTTACGAGTTTAATGGCAACATTTTCCCAGTGATACTTCGATAATAAGACCATTAAACTAGAAATAAGTACGAGCCAAAAGGTGAGGTTCAAGCTCAGCGAACAATTGGAAATACAGAAAATAGGTGGGGACTATTGCCACGCGTCACGCCTCATGCTTCTCGTTTTGCCATAGTGCCAATGATAATGACATGAAAATTGCCGAGATGAATAATTCAATAAATAATATAGTAGATATTGCTATTGATAATTGATAAAATTAGCGCGTTTGTGAAATATTAAGAGGAGGGAACTGCTGATGAACTGCTGGGAATTATAAGTGATGGAAATTAATATGTTATATATTTTTGTGACAGAGCACGAGTCCGAAAGATAGACGGGAAAGAGGGATGGCTGCCAATGTCAATACTCATGCAGACAGCTCTCAGCGAGGACAGTTCGACCCTGAGTCAACACCGCCCAGAAGATTCCCAATATCGACGAGAGTATGTTTCAATAGGACACATTCTTCCTAAAATAAATTCTCTCAATTATATTCGGACTATTGAGCTTTTTCTTTTTTTCTTTCTTCTCCAGAGCTGTGGTGAAGGAATTGGTTGAAACTGAGGAAGAATTCGGCAAAGACCTTCAACAGGTGGTTGAGAGATACCTTAAACCCTTGGACAACCCTGGAGTCCCCAGGGCCATTCGTGATAACAAGGAAATTATTTTCAGCAATCTTAAACACATTGCTGATTTCCATAATACGTACGTATATATTCGTTCTGATCACTCAATTAGAATTCGCGATACAACCCTTAAGATACCAGACGTACCAAACTAGACTCTATTTCACCACTGAGACAATACAAAAAAAAAACAAAAAAAACAAAAAAACAAAACAAAAAAACAAAAAAAATATCGAAATTTGAGACACACACGATCATCGTTCACCAACCGTTGTCATTATTTATTCCATAGCAGTCGATGAAAAATGGCGTAAGTGGAGTTTTCTGATGGTTGTTTGCCAGTTTTCGTGTGTTACTGTGTATGTACATGAGTGGCCACAATTTATCATTTCGAAATTCCCACCAATTCATGTATGGAAAATGTTGTTACATGCCGCCTATGAATTATTTTCATTGATTTCATTTTTTTTTTTAAATATTACAGGTCATTTACAGCCGATAATTGATTTTACTGAGTGAAAAAATGAGAATTTATGGAAAAAATTATATAAAAATTACATTGACAATTTTTCTCTAACTGTTATCGATGATAATTCATAATTGATTGATTTATTAACTGCGTTTGAAGATTTGTTTGTCCCCCTGAATAAAAATCAAACCCGGCAAGGATCATTAAAAAGTTTTTGTATGATCTTGTCGAGAACGACGTTAACTCGTTGACAAGAAATTTGAAAGATTGAAAAAAAAAACAAAGTAACCCGTAGGCGTGGTGTGAATTGGCATGATATTAATTCCGGCCTTACTTAGATCGTTCGGCAGGGTCTTAATCGAGGGGGTCAAATACTATGCGGATCAACCAAGAATGCTTGGAAAAACTTTTTTGCGACTGGTAAGCATCAACTGAATCATGACAAAATTATATTAATAATTTTAAAGAAAAAGAAAGAAAGAGTGGGCTTGGTTTGATTTTTCAGGAGAGAGATTTCGACAAGCATGTGGCTTATTGTCGGGACGAGCCGGCTGCCCAAGAATTCTTACAGATCAACAACGAGGTTCGAGAATATTTCGAGGTAATATGCATTTCACATTTCCTTTCGTTATTTTCATTTTCATTTTTATCCTTGTGGATGTTAAACCATTACGCTTGAGTCATGTAATTATTAATACTTTGTAAAGTTAAAGTTAAAGTATACCGTGGATACATGCTTCGAAATTTATGGTAAAGAAGAAGTCTTCTTCGTACTCTGATTTTTGTCAATTTTCCTACCAAGTTCTAAAGCAAAATAAGCTCTATTAATAATAATAATTTAATAATAATATCCATTTTTGTTTTTGTTTTGTGCTTTTTTTTTCCCACAGAAACAAGGAAAAAAATAATGGAGAATTCTTTTTTTTATTGAAAAATCAAGTCGCCATTTGGATGTCATTATATATATATATATATATATATATGTGTATAAAAAGGAAGCAATGAAGGGAGCATGTGTGCACGATAGTTTCCAGACAACCACCCAACTTTCTAATAATTTTCCTACCTGATGACGTTTGGAAATGAAAATCTGTTGATTACGTAATAGCGAAGGCGAAACGCGGGCGTCCATCCAGTAATCCGAAAATAACATCGTGTATTTTTATCTCAACGGACATCCATGCCACCCATCTCTCTCATTCTCTCGCAATGTGTACCCGGCATTTTGTGCACTTCTCAGAATGAAAAAAAATGATGGCAAAAATAAGTAAACACTATTTGAATTTATTAATCAACAACCAAAGTAGGTTTTCGGCCAGAATTAGAATCGAATAAATTTTCACATCTGCAATTTATTTAAAAATCAACACACGCCACCGGATCTCGAATTTTCTGCAACTACTCTCTGCCCTAAATACAATCGCGCTTTCAAGTCTTTCATTTGAGATATTAAAAAAATAAGATTTATTATTCATTCGCTCACTCTAAGCATATTCATATTCAATTTAGCAGAAAAACACCACTGGCATTTACATATATCATGGCAAAATGAAAATGTCCATTCATTAGATTGTATCTTGTATCATGAAATTAAATTTTGTTGTAGTAGAATTTTGAGAGGATTTTTCTATTGAAGCATGTGTAAAGTCGAGGGAGTGTAGAGGGAAGAGATATACTTAAGATGGAGACGGAAAGTTGTAAGAAGTGATGATATTTTTCTATAGAAGTAAAAAATTTATATTTTTCTCTGCGGGGCTTGACAATTGGATCACAAGAAAAATCCATTCCACCTCATGAAACCAAAATCGTTTTTTAACTAGTGTTTGTGCTGTGGTCAGTCTTTCGATGGCGTCTATGGTCTAAGTATAGAATCCAAGTGGCGCGATGTTAAATCTTCCGTCTGGTCTCGACTCTCAGTCGCGAGTCTCGACAAACACCGTGTGTTGGATAAACCAACACGGGGACATTAGTAAGTCTAATCGATCTGCCATTAGATTCGACAAACAATTCATTTCGATAGATATCCTTCAACCCCCAAGGTGTGTTTCTATAGTGTTAATTGTGATCACGTCAACCCCCGCGACCATCGTCAATTAATTCTTTCTGTGAATTTTCCTTAAAAAATTCTATACCCCCAACAATAATGCAATCTATCGTTTAGTCGACGCATATCGCATTACAGTTAATAAGAAAATAAATAAAATAATAAAAGAAATTGGAGGCAAAAATGATATTGGCATGCATGTAATTACAACGTTCATCAATTGATCGCAAGCCCTACTCAGTCTAATTCCAATCGAAAGATTTCTTTTTTCTTTTATTTTTTTTTTTTCTGTGTGTTGATGGGAATTTTCTCCATCTAACATTATCCAATTGACATCGTCACTGAGTTATTAGCAATTATTTATATTTGTTCAGGAGCTAAGCCAGACTCTTGGAGACGATAAAAGTGTTTCGGAGCATCTGAAACTTCCGATACAACGTATCAACGACTACCAGCTCTTGCTTAAGGTAATGTTTTACTTAGATTACAATTAAAAGAGAAAAAATACATTTTTCTTTTCTCAAATGTAATACTATGGAAAAATTAAAAAAATAACACATACAAGATAACTTGTCGTTATCGTCAGTGAAATTGTCAGGCGGCCAAAAGACGTTGATCATTCTTCCGGTACATGTTGGCTTGTATTTACATCGAAGACATACCGTAGCTATTGCTAATCGTCTTGGGACTTAATAAAATAATTAATTAACCGAACGCAGGGGTGGTAGGTGCGATGCGTTAATTGCCCGGATATAATATTGCCTCAGATATTGGCTCATCCTTATTATTGGCCTCTTTATTATCGGGTAAGTCTATATACTCACCGGACTTTTCATTTTTAGACTACTAGCATTTTTAAACCAGCTGTTAGCTGCCATTCTTGAAAGTATTCCAGATGATATCGCCTTCGCTTTTTCACCTTGAAAGGGGGAATATAACGAGTCACTGGATTCTAACGATTCTCTGCATGCCGGGATAGGAAGACGAAACTGTGACTTTGACCTCTTTTGTATTTGTGTTGTGAGGCGTCAGGAAAAATGTTACAATTTCAACTTTTTCATTTTCATAATTTTGAAATGGATGTCATAACACTTGTTTTTTACCTTATTATTTCATCAGTCCACGAAAGTCTTGAATATTATTATTATTATCATTAATATTAATATTAATATTAATATTTTGTAGCTTTAATAATTGTAATAAGATTATTCCAAGAAAAACAAAACTGGAGATTCCTTGTACACTTGAATAGATCATTCAAGAAAAAGTATTAGATTTTTTTTTTTTTAATTTCTTGCGTGTAAGAGTTCCACGAGGAAGAGTTCCGCTCTCTTTTCTTCACATTCTTCCACTCGACATTTACAAAACCAAAATGTTGCCAGATTTTCGGTGAATCAAGTATTATAAAAAAAAAAAAAAAAAAAAAAAACACTAGCATAACTCCGTGCGGTGCTCTCTAATACCAAAAATTCAATTCAATCTGAGAAAAGTATTACGTCGAGTTACCTATTCCATTGCATTCTCATTATAATTCAATAGTAATTTTTAACTATTCGAATTTTATCATAAAACGTGTTTTAAAAAAAATGATGGAAAATATTTATTCACATATGTGAAGGTGATGATAGCCTGGAAATGATCTGTCGGAGAAACGAGAGTGGGCGCTGCTACCGATTTAGCAGCTCTAAAAACAGGTCATGGTGGGGCGTTTTGAACGCAGTCACTCACTTGCAAAAACGACAACGGCTTTTTGAAAAATCTCCCCTTATTTTAATGTATCAGGAGCTGGTTAAATATTCGACCCGACTGGGGGAAAATAGCGACGATCTCCAGAAAGCCCTGGAGTTGATGCTAGGAATCCCCCATCAAGCGACCGACAACAAGTTTATAAGTAATATCGAGGGCTTCAAAGGCAACATCCATAAGCTCGGTCGACTCCTCACCCACGAGTGGTTCACAGTGACAGACAAGGACGGAAAGACCAAAGAGCGTTATTTGTTTCTCTTCAAAGCCCGCATACTCGTATGTAAAGTTCGGAGAATATTGGAGGATCGTTCCGTCTTTGTCCTCAAGGATATCATTAAACTGCCAGAGGTCGAGCTCAAAGATTATCCAGTCGAGCAGCGTACCTTCGAGTTGCACAATCCTGAGATATCAGGCTACCCGATAACTCTAGTTGCTCATAAAGATACAGTTAAAAAGACTTGGCTCAAGGAAATCCGCGAGTACGCCAGTGATCTCGTTGCCCTGGCTGAGCATGCAGCTGATGATCTACAACTGACTGAGGGAAAAACTAACGACGAGACGAAGACTCCCACTGGGTTAAACCCTCCACCAAAAGACAAGAGCCAAACCAAAGTACAAGTTACCGCTGCTGAGAAAACGGAGAGTTGTACATTTGAAGCGAGTAGAGCGAGTAAAGCGAGCATCGAGGACAACAAAGAGATGTCCGGTCGGTACTCGGCGACGAGCCGCTTCAGCACCTCTTCCAAAGTTATTGAAGGTAAGATTGGAGTTTGTCATGCATCTCCTCAATGTATTGTGCATTGTACATTCTACCGCTACTTTTATGGTCGCTTATAGAGTATTCATCAGTGTCGAGCAGTAGAAATGGCGCGTCCTCCCTAGTGGAAACATCGATGTCAGGCTCTCTTAGCGAGAAGAGATCCTCTTCGCTGTATGATGCCTCCGACGTCCACTCTTCTGTCAAGCATCGCACTGCAGTCAGTGGCTCCTCTGAAGACACGAGGATCGCTAAACTGGCGCTTACTGCTACCGACACTGGTAGGCTCAAGTTTGGGAGGACGATCGAGGGCATCAGCGCTCAACGTAAGTATCCCTTCGATCTCATCATGCATATAGATAATATGCATATGTAACAGTAACACTATCAACAATAGGTGACATTTTGGGAGTTAAGAGTTGAGTTGCAAGGATTAAAATGCGCTCAAGTAGCAGGATGTAACATGATATATTTCTACTGTTCTAGCCATCCGAGCGAAACAGGCTGTTATGCACGTTATAGGTAAAGTCACGTAGATGAAGACTGAGAATGTACAATGCCATTGTAGCTTCAAATTTCTCCATCTTCTCTCTTCTAAATTGCTTGTAGCTTTTCTCACGAGTTAAGGAACTTCCGCAGTATAGGTGGGGGAACATAGAGTGGGGGTAAAGATCAAACGTTCCGACAGCTCGCGACAACTTGCGAAAAAACATATATCATAGTGGCGGGAGTGCTATTGTTTTGTTGCAGACGTTATATTTGTTGAGTTTGTTGTCCTATCCAGTGAATTCTGATGGAAGCCCCGAATATTTGAATGTCCCGCTACCGTACCACCCCCTCCGCCACGTCGCGGAGCGCACCCACCTCCTCTCAACGTTGCCACGTTTGATGGTCATTTCGATGAAATTTCCTGATTCACGGTAGATTTTTTAATCACAACTCGAAATCCACTTAGTAACATATGGAAAAAATTCGTTTTATTTCTTCTTGATTAGTTTACGGAATGATTCGGCAGGTTTTTCCATTTTTTGGCGATTGTCGATTATTTTTAATTGATTTTTGAAAATTGCGTGCCATAAGAGCCTGTACAAATGCAATGTCTTAAATAATTAATTTATAAAAAATATATAGCCCATTGTTTTCGGACTTCGGCTACATATTTTTAGTCCTGATTCAGATTTATACTGAAAATTTCAACGCTTTTGTGCATTTCTTTCTATTCCCATTTACTCACTGCGGAAGTCCTTTAAGATGCTTACATTTTATTGATTATTTTGGTCCGTCAATCACCAGTCCGGCAAGAGTCTCGCACTTAATTAATGAAATTCAACTATTCTTCTATTTTAGAAATCTATTTTATTAATATGCAAATAATTAGAAAATTGGTTGACAGCCGTTATAACATCACCTTGCCAAATCATCAGCATCTCCTCACACTTTCTCTCCACTCATACAAAAAAAATGTCAAAATAAGACAATCGTATTGAAAAATCATATAATTTGTTAGTTTTTCATTTTCATAGAGCACATCATGCAATTCAGCTTAAACATCAGTAAAAAATGAGTCAACTTGAGTAAAATAATAGATCAGTTAATAATTCTGATGTGTTTCGGTACAGCTGGCGAGTCGGCGACTTTTGAGTGCACTCTTGATAGCAGCAGCTCCGCATCGAAATTTCTTTGGCTGAAGGACAACAAACCTCTCGATGACAAGCTCGCAGACAGAATTAACATCATCTCAACCGATAATGTTTTCAAACTCAAAATCCTCAATGTCATGGAGAGTGACACGGGAATCTACACAGCTAGAGCTGCCAATGGTGATTGTAATGCCAGCTGCACAGCTCAATTGATTGTCGAGAATTTGACAGCTGATGAAAGGAGAGCCCAGGCCGAAGCTAAAGCTCCGGTCTTTCTTGTTCAACTCAAAAACACTGAACTACTTGAGAACACCTATCTTCGGTTTATGATTAAGGTCAAAGGAGATCCAAACCCTGAATTGAAATTTTTCAAAGACGGTATTCTAATCGACTCGAAAAGCCAACAAATCAAGATTATAACCGAAAGAGCTGACAGTGGATTTTACGAGCTAGTCATCCCAGATGTTCAGAAGGCAGATGCCGGGATGTATTCATGCGTGGCAACAAATAAATTTGGTGAATGCTTGTGCGAAGCAGAGGTGACAGTAACTGATGAGAAGAGCCTGTTCGCTGGGCTGCCAGAGGGAATCTTTGAACCAGGTGCAGAGCCTTCATTCAAGTGGCTGCGAGATGGTAAGCCTTTTGATCCAGAGGAGCGTTTCAAGGTCCTCTTCGAGGATAAGGAAGACACCCTTGCTCTTGTATTCCAGCATGTGAAGCCTGAAGATGCAGGACTGTACACCTGCGTAGCTCAAACAAGCACTGGTAACATCAGCTGTAGTGCCGAGCTCACAGTCCAAGGGAATGTCAATCAGCTACTGAAGGAGCCCACCAAACCAGTTCTGGATAATGAATCTAGAACATCCGAGGTTAATGTCGGGGGTTCTGCTATGCTCGATCTTCAAGTGAAGGGCTTTCCCAAGCCACAAATCACATGGAGCAAGGACGGTAAAGAGATTGTAGCTGGAGGCAGGATAAAATATCTGTGGGAAGACGAGGAATCGCTCTCTCTTGTCATTAAAAATGTGACGTGTGACGATGGCGGTGTCTACACCATTAAGGCCAAGAACGAACTGGGGGAGGATACGACTTATATTGAGCTCATTGTCAAATCTGCTCCGAAAATCATCAAAAAGATGGCTGATACGTTTGCTTACATTGAAACCGATGCCAAAATGACTGTTCAAATTCAGGCGTCACCTCCTCCGAATGTTACATGGTACAAAGACGGCCAGGTAATCAAGGAGTCTGAGAGGATTTCTTTCGTGAAAGAGGGCAATGATAGCTACAGTTTGATAATTATGGAGTGCAGGCTCACCGACACTGGCTCTTACTCAGTGATGGCGAAAAATGAGATTAACCAGACTTCTGACGTTTGGAATTTCGACGTCAAGTGTCCACCGAAGATCAAGAAGAAGCTCGGTGAGAACAGGATTATTGAGGATGGCGCTAGCCTTACCCTCCAAATTGAGGTGGAGACCACTTCTGAGTCTGATGTAATCTGGATGAAGGATGAAGTCGTCATCCGGGCGGATGAAAGGGTCATTATCGAGGCTAGAGAGGAAGGGATCAGGACGTTGAGCATTAATGGCACTGTGGGGACCGATGCTGGAATTTATAAGGCCCAAGTCAGTAATAAGGATGGAACTACTGTGGATCAAGTTGGTATTGAGGTGAAATGTGGCCCGAGATTCAAGAAGAATATGACCGATGTGATCACCAAAGTGGGTGCAGCTAGCGCAGAATTTTCGGTTGAAGTGGCTGGCTATCCCAGGCCCAAAGTGCAGTGGTACATTGGAAAAAGTGAAATAACAGAGGAAAAAAAAGATTACACCACATCCTCAGAAGGCGATGTCCACAAACTTATTGTTAATGACATTAAGGAGGAACGATCTGGTACATTTATATGCAAATTGACCAACGAGTACGGTTCGGACTCTAGCAGTGGCAAGCTCATAGTCTATTGCAAGCCCAAAATCGTAAAAAAAATGGTGGACCAGAAATTGAACGAGGGAGACACTCTCAAACTGGCTGTGCAAATATCGGGAACACCAGATCCAGATATCAAGTGGTTCAAGGATGGCAAGGAAGTGTCTGCAGACGCTAGGATCAAGATTACAAGGGACAGTCAGAGAAAGGAGAGCTATGATCTCACCCTCAACTTACTCAAGGGGTCTGACGGTGGTACTTACGAAGTTAGGGCTGAAAATGAGATGGGAAGTGTTGTTTGCAAGAGCAAAGTCATTGTTTTAAGTAAGTTGACAAATTATTCTTTCTCTATTATATTTTTTTTTTCATTTTTGCATTATTTTTTTTTTTTTTTTATCAACATACACATTAATTTTCAATGATGATATGGTAATGAATACAATATTCATAATATGTCTACAAGAGCTAATGCCTACCAAACGCTTTAAGCCTCACTAATGTAAGTAAAATTTATCTCATTGAGAGTAATTGAAAAAACATATATATAAATATTTGTGTGTATTAACTTTTCATCACAGGACTAATAGATGTATAAGAAAAAAAGTCCCTCCAAAGAAACGGCTCCTTCATGTGTGAATTTTCCCAAATGCTACTTTTCCCAATTCCGGCTGTAAATAAATTGTTCAGAACTCATTTATAACTAATGGAATAGTGAAATAAAATTTGTCATTGATTAAAATTATTGTATTCATAGCCAAAACCGAAGCAACAGCTGATAGCTTAGGGGACGATTCGATGAAAAAAGTGGGGGTCGATGAAGATATTTTAATAGAAAAACCAGACAGTGAGGGACCAGAAGGTAAAAATGAACGGTCAACTTTATAGTACATTTCAATGCATTGAGGGGAACATTATCGTAAAATAAAATGATTGAGTTATGGCTAGTAGTAGAAACAATATATTGGCCAATTATTTTGTCCAATGTTTTGTCCATTCATATTTCAATTTAAAAATCGTTATGAAAACATGTTAATTATTGGAACGCGCGCCAGTTCAGTTATTGTTTGTCTTATCTTGTGATAATCATAAATATTCTGATATTTGATAATTTTTCCCTCTGATAAGAACTTGTTTATAATTTTCGTCAAATCGAAACAGAAATCGTAAAGCATTGTTGGTTATACAAAGAGAAAGATAGAACATTCTCTCTGGCAAAAGATATAATGCTTCGCTTAGGTGTAGTCGTAGTGTTGTTACAACTTGATAAATTCAGGTTGCGAGAAACTGGTGAAGAGGAGCATTGAGAAAATCAAGGGGAAGGAGGGTGAAACTATAACAATATCCATGGAATCAACAACTGAGCACGAAGCAACTATGACAGGTGAGACACATGCGAAACGAAAAATCGTAATTTGTGTACTACAAAACTGATCAAGGCTAATAACTGAATAATGCAATGACAGAATGGTAAATTGTTGCAAGTAGAATGTAAAAATTCTATTAATTGCCGATTTATTTTAAAAGAAATACTAGACGAAAGAAAAAAGCTCACTAATACGCTTTCTTCTCATGTTCGCTTATGACTTTGAATCATGACGATAACAATTGCTTCGGAACATCTATAAAGCGACTAATTTTCTATTGCCGATTCTATTGAAAAATTATATAGGCTTTTTGTGTATTTATTGTGCGCGTAAAACATTGATAAGAATGCCATTGATATTGAGCTGAGGAATGCGTCTGCTAAGAACTAAAGGAATCTATACTCAGAGGATAGTGAAATTTGAGAGTCCCCGCAGGTCCTGATGAACGCCATACGATCAGCAAAATGAAATCGACAAAAGTCGAGTGCCAAGAAATCCACACAGACCTACCTCAAGTTGAGGAGATAGCATCTTATAATTACACGATACATGATGACAAAAATATTCACAAGCCCCCAAATGGTATACTCATAGAGGAGTATTCAGACGGGGAGGAAAATAGGAAGAAACATTCAGTGAACCGCGGAGTGTCGATAGTTTCGGTGTCAGACGACGAATCCACTCTCAAGGCTCTCTCGAGAGATGTAAGCGCTGAGGAGATGTTCGATGCTGATGTCTCGGAAGGTCTGGGGCGCGGTGAAAGCCTCCAGGGGCTCATTCCACAGGGAAAAAGTGTCGAGGAGAAGGTCTTTGAGTATGATGGCCCTCATCATGCCGTAAGGTACACTGAAACTATTATCGAAGAAACGTTTATCGAAAATTCTTCTCAAAATCCTTTAGAGGCGGTCAGCCTTGAGACAATACCTCTGAGAGGAAGTGCTGATGAAACTAAATTGACAAAGCAATGTGCAAAAATTGAAAGAGTTGACTCCATTGAGTCGAGAAAGGCTTCGATAACAGATATTTCTAGGAGAAACTCTCAAACAGCTGTTATTGAAGATGAAAAAATGTCACACCAGAGCTCGAGAAAAGGCTCGATTGTTGATCACTCGAGAAGGAATTCACAGCGGGCTGTCATCGACCACGACGACGACGACGACCTCGACGTTGATGAGAAAACCAAGTCTCTACTTGAAAGAATTAAGAGAGAACGCAGTGTCCTCGATGAAATTATTGATCAGACCACCGAGAAAAAGGACAATGGCGAAATCGGAGGTAAGGATTGTGCACCATCAACTTGGATACTAAGCTTCGTCAGAATATTTCGATTCTCTTTCGGTGGTGGCAATGCAGCATTTTTGCGTATTGAGTATATTCATAGGACTTGACGTACTTAGCTGCTTGTTAGTTGTTTTTTGCGGATGGACGGTCTAGCCTCCCTGCGTTTCCCAATTCCCAATTCCCAATTGCTGATTCCCGATTCCGTTTTGAATTATTGTAGCTCCGCCTATTGTGAATTTGAAAATTTAAAATTTTTGAAAAAGTATCGGGGGGAACATGAACATCGAGGAGGTATTCGCTGGAATTGAAAAATTCAAAATTTTTGAAAAAGGATCAGGCGAGCATGAAAATCCTAAAAGTCCTAAAAGTAACCTCACGACCCCGAACGCTTACGCTTGCCTTGCATGTGTGAGACAATAAAGAAAAAAGAGCGGGAGAATCCCCAACAACTTTCGGAAAGTAGCTGTATTGTCAAGGTAAGAGTGTAGCAGTAATAAACTCGTTGTAGCAGCTTGCAAAATGTCAGTGCACCAATGAAATTCTGCAAATATACTTATAATATACTGTGAAACTCTCATAGCCGCACCACAAATCGTGAGTCACGATTTCGAGGACCGTACGATATACGAGACCCAGAGCACAGTCTTCACGATCAAAGCAACGGGATTGCCCCGTCCAGATGCAAAATGGTTCAAGGACGGAAAGCCTCTGAAGTCGGCTGACAAAGGGAAACCTGCCCAGACTGGCGAAACATATACTCTTACTTTTAACAAAGCCACGGAAAAAGAAACTGGAATATACCAGCTTGTGCTGACCAACAAGCTGGGCTCAATAAGTCTAGATGCTTTTTTGGAAGTTGGCCCAGTAGGAGATTTACGCAAGCCACGATTCTGTGAATCCGTTAAGGATGTAGATGTGGAGATCCATACGACAGGCACCCTTCAGGGTGTCCTTACAGCGGAGCCCATTCCGGAAATCGTGTGGCTGCAGGACGGCCAAGAGATCGCCCTGGATGATAAGAAATTCACCCGAGAAGTAGCCACGCGAAAGGTGGAGGATGGCCTCCACCAGTGCACCTTCTCTCTGATCATCAAGGATTGCCTCCCAAGCGACGTTGCAAAATATACATTAAAAGCCACCAATATGCATGGCGAAGCATCCTCAATAGCTGACCTAGAACTACTGGCCCCACCCCAAATTCTCGAATTCAAAGACCTTAATGCTGCTGTAGAAGAGCTTTCTGTTTGGGAAGTCATAATCAAATCTAACCCCAAGGCCGAGCTTTCCTGGGAGCGAGAGAATGTACTCCTGATGGAGGATGATAGTCGTTATGGTTCTGATGACGATTACAAGAACAAGAAGTACAGGCTAATTCTCAAGAATGTGGTGTACGAAGATGCCGGCACGTACAGGGTAATTGCGAAAAATTATCTTGGAGAGGACAGTGCAGAGGCGCAACTCTTACCCTTCACAGTACCTCCGGAGATAATTAAAACCCTGTCGAACGGAGCTGTCCGCCATGACGCAGCAATTGAATTCAAGGTAGAAGCTACGGGGATAGCTCGTCCGAAAATCCAGTGGTTCATCAATGGAGATGAACTGGCCAACGATGGACGCCATACGATCATTACCACCATTGATGACCATGTTTTCAGCACTTTGAGCATTGTTAATTTTGATGCGACTGACGAGGGGGAGCTCGTTTGTGTGGCTACAAATCTCGCAGGAAAAGCCAAGACCAATTGTACGTTGTCTATGATCAGAATTCCCCCGACCTTCGACAAACTTCTCCCAAAATCGAAACAAATTGAACAGGGAGAGCCACTTGAATTAAGTATCGACATAGATGGTAGTCCTTTTCCAAGGGTAACGTGGTTTAAAGATGGAGAGAAAATCGTTCCCGATGGTCATGTTAGAATTGAGACCCAGCCAAATGGCTCGACCAAGCTTACCATTGACCACTGTATACCAACAGATTGCGGAGCATACAAGCTCATTGCCAAGAACAACAATGGTGAGAATATGACTCAGTGCGCTGTTGCTGTAAAGCCAACTCAGCGCAGACCCTCTTTCTCCAAGCCCCTCGAGGACATTCACATCATGGTAGGAGAATCGATGAAGCTGCAGGCACAGGTCGTCGCCTTTCCGACTCCTGAGGTGCAGTGGTTCAAGGACAGCTTGCCCCTACGTAAATCACAGGATATTGAGTTCGTCAACGAACCGAATGGAATAATGGGCCTATCCATCGAGAGTGCCAAACCAGAGGACACCGGAGTGTATTCTTTGCTAGTGAAGAATGACTTGGGGGAGGTAACAGGTACTGCTCATGTCGAGGTTGAGGCTAAAGAGAAGAAACCAGGCTTTTTAATAACTCTGCAGCCCCTTACCGTCGTCGAGGGTTTCCCAGCCAAGCTGGAAGTCACCACTGTAGGAAAACCTTCACCATTACTCAAGTGGATGCACAACGGAGTGGATATCGTACCCGATGGAGTACACATCAAGGTAATCTCTCAACCCGATGGGACACACGCACTTGTCATTGACAAAGTCAAATGTGAGGATGCAGGGGAATATGGCGTATTGGCGAGTAACTCTCAAGGCGAGGAAGCTAGTTATGGGATACTGAGTGTTGTGACAAAAGAGAAAACAGATATTCCCGAGGAGAAGCCAGGCTTTCTCGGCCAACTGAGAGACGTTACTGTTGAAGAAGGTGAAACACTGGCGCTGAGTGCTTCCTTCTCGGCAAATCCCCTTCCGGATGTCTCCTGGACGAAGGACGGCGAACCTGTGGAGCCCAAAGACTCCAGGGTACTGCTCTCATGCGATGGCAAGAAGGTGGGCATTGAGATTCATCCCTGTTCGCCAAAGGATGCAGGTGTCTATCGTTGTCGCCTCATTAATCCTCTAGGAGAAGATGCCTCCAGTGGAGTGGCAATTGTCCGCAAGATCTACTCCAGACCAAACTTTGCCCAAAGGTTTACTATGATTTATTAATAATTATTTATATATTTATGTATATGGATAATAATAAAAATAATACTATAGATTTACAGATCTCCAGCAGTTAACAGGCTGTGACGCTAAGTTCGCTGCGAGGATTACTGGAATTCCGCGGCCAGACGTTACCTGGTATTTCAACGACAAAACAATTGGCCGTGACAGCGATAAATACAAGATGAAAAGAGACGGGGACATCTGCTGCTTATACGTGTCAGACTGTTCATCGCTTGACGTGGGAAAGTACAAATGCAGAGCAGTGAATAAAGAAGGAGAAGCTTGTTGCGAAGCGGGTCTGTCTTTAGGCTCCGGAATTGATAGTCGACAAAAAGTTGAGGCTCCGTCATTCCTCAAACGAATCGGCGACTGCGAAATATATAAAGGCATGACAGCCAAGTTTACAGCTTGTGTCACTGGCTGTCCAGAGCCGAGTTTTGAGTGGTACAGAAATAATGAGAGACTCTGGCCGACAGATCGAATTAGAATGGAGGAGGAGGGCTCGGGTCTTCTTCGCTTGATTCTCATCAATATCGACGAGCACGACGTTGGCAAATATAGTCTGAGGATATACAATCCTCATGGTGAGGATATCTGTCACGCCGAGATGCGTTACGACACCCTGGATATTCGCCCAAAAAAAACCCTTGCAGACCAGTACTCGGAATTTGACAAATATAGAAAATCTGGAATTCCTCTACCCCTTGCTGATCGGCCAATTATAAGTCGAATGATGGACAGACACTTGACGCTCTCGTGGAAGCCGTCAATTCCAATTGGGCCGCGTGTTCCAGTGACATACCTCGTGGAGATGTGCGAGCTACCTGACGGTGATTGGTTTACAGCAAAGTCAGGGCTGCGCAGTTGTGTGTGCGATATTAGAAACCTCGAACCCTTCCGCGATTATAAATATCGCATTAGAGTGGAGAATAAATATGGTATAAGTGATCCTTCGCCATTTGCCCAGACATATCGTTCAAAACTCATGCCAGATCCTCCAAAATTCCATCCGTACCTCTCTCCAGGTATTGACTTTCGCCCAGAAACAAGCCCCTACTTCCCCAAGGATTTTGACATTGAGCGGCCACCCCACGATGGTTACGCCCAGGCCCCCAAGTTTCTTCGCCAGGAGCACGACGCTCAGTATGGCGTCAAGAATCATAACTGCAATCTCTTCTGGTTCGTTTATGGCTATCCCAAACCCAAGATGAGTTATTACTTCAATAATGAGTTGATAGAGTGTGGGGGCAGATATGATCACAGCTACACGAGAAATGGTCAGGCAACGCTCTTTATAAATAAAATGTTGGAGCGAGATGCGGGTATCTATGAAGCAGTGGCGATTAATGAGCATGGCGAAGCTAGACAGAGGGTGCGTCTCCTTATCGCCGAATATCCGACCTTCGTTAAACGTCCCGAGGAGAGTATCATCATGCTACGTAGAAATGGACATCTCCAGGCAAGGATTCTTGGTACTCCCTATCCTGAAATTAAGTGGTACAAGGATTGGAAACCCCTGGCTCCGACAGCCAGGCTAAAAATGGACTTTTTCGAGCCGGATATGTCTGTCCTCACTATCAACGATGCTATTCTCAAGGATGAAGGCTTGTACTCAATCAGTGCGAGAAATATCGCGGGTTCGGTGTCGTGCTCAGTGATGGTGCACGTTGAAGAGAATGAGCACGAGTACGGTTACAGAACGTATACAAGACAGACTGATGTAAAGCCCAAAATTAAATTATTTGATGATTATTATGACCTTGGAGATGAGCTGGGTAGGGGCACACAGGGAATTACTTATCATGCTGTAGAGAGGGCCACTGGTAAGACTTATGGGGCGAAGGTTATGCACGGACGTGGTGAATTAAAACCACTCATGCTTAATGAGGTTAATGCTATGAATCATTTGAACCACCGCAATCTTTTACGTCTACATGACGCCTATGAGACTGATGGCTCGATGACACTCTTGACTGAGCTTGCAGGTGGAGGCGAACTCGTTGATACCCTCACGAGGAATCCTTTTTATACTGAATGGGAGGTGGCCAATTACATCAGGCAAATTTTGAAGGGATTAGACCATATGCACAACGAAAGTTGGGCTCATCTTGGATTGACTCTTGGTGATCTTCTAATTTCTCATTCTGGGAGTGATGAGCTCAAAATCGCTGATTTTGGCCTCGCCAGAAGGATCTCCTACAATAAGCTAATGATGCTTGTGTATGGGATGCCTGAGTTTGTGGCTCCTGAAGTGATCAATGGAGACGGAGTGACTTATTCTGCTGACATGTGGTCTCTAGGAATTATCACACATATTCTCTTGTCTGGAATCTCGCCATTCAGGGGAATCAATGATCGGGAGACTCTCACCAAGATTAAAGGCGGAAATTGGGATTTTGACGAGCGCTGGTGGATACATATTTCCAGTGAAGCCAAGGACTTTGTCAAGCGACTGTTGGTTTACACTGTCGAGGGGAGAATGGATGTGGCTGAGGCTCTTCGGCATCCTTGGTTACGAGGGCTTGATAAATCACCGGTGGAGCCTTATAAAATTCCCTCGGAGAATTTGCGTAATTATTACAAGCTCTTTAGAGACTGGTACAGCAATGCATCTTGCAGAAACTGGTATAGAAGGCGACGACTCAGCAGTGCCTTTGAACATCCCTCAAAAATGGTTTATCCACCGGGTGACAGATATACTCCTGAACCAATGGCTGAACGCACATTCACTCCTCGAGAAAAACCTGAACCCAATGCCTGGGAGAATAGGGTTCCATCTAGAGAATCTATTGATACCAAAATTGGCATGTTTTCAAATGAGAGTCATTATCAGAATGGGCCCGATACTTATCTTCTGCAGTTAAGGGACACTGACTTTCCGGTCAGATTGAGAGAGTACATGAAGGTCGCTCATGATCGGTGCCCAAGTTTCACAAGAATTTATAATGATGAGGGATATGATTGGCGAACGCCAATAATAAGAGAACGTCGAAGATTTACGGATGTTATGGACGAGGAAATTGATGACGAACGAAAAGCTCGAATTAACAATTATGGAGCGGATTCCAATACGATGCGACGCCTCCGTCACGAACTAGGAACACGTTTGGACTCATACTACGAAGCTGATGCAATGATAGAAGAGAAAAAAGGTGGAAACCTTCCGTTCTTCCGAGAAAAACCCCAAATCCTGCAGATACAGGCAGGCAAGTGCGCCCAATTGGTGTGTTATGCTGTGGGTAACCCAAAGCCCAATGTTCAGTGGTACAAAAATGACCTGGTAATTCAGGAAGGAAAGAGAATCAATATCGTAGAGACAACTGATGGTAGATCAATCCTGAGCTTCAGCCCAACTCGAGAGTACGATATCGGAATTTACAAAGTAGTAGCTAGAAATCCAGTGGGACAGACAGTAGCTCGAACTCGAATTGTCCTAGCTACCGTACCAGGTATATCTCAAGCTCCTCAGACCTGTGGAATTTCAGACACTGAAATCCTGTTGCGTTGGAAGGCCCCCAAGGACGACGGAAACTCGGAGATATTGTGTTACAACTTGCAATACAAGGCCGGTGACTCCATCGACTGGATCGATGCGGCCAGCAACATCGATCACGAGTTTTATCTCGTCAAAGATCTTCAGCCGAACACTAGCTATCACTTTCGATTATCAGCTAGGAATCGCATTGGCTGGGGGGACAAGGGCTTCGAGACAAATCTCATTCAAACCAAGCCAGAGGGCACACCAAAAGTGTCCATTAGTCGAGCCATGCAACATCTCCAGCACCTCACCGAATCAGGTCAGGAGATCATCCCAGATGAGGAGAAACCCAGAATGAGCTACGAAGCGGAAGAGTGTCCTATTGAATGGACCATCGATTCCCAGTTTACCACTCGGTATTCCTTTATATCTGAAGTCTCCAGGGGACGTTTTTCCATGATTGTTAAGGGGGCTGAAAAGGAGAGCGACAGACTCGTTGTCGCCAAAATTCTGGAGGTACGTCCTGAGCTAAAGGAGGCAGTTGGAGAGGAATTTCAGGTATTGCGATCACTCAGGCATGAGAGGATTGCACTTCTGGAGGCCGCTTATTGGCCAGCTAACTCGCCAATCGCTGTTTTCATTCTGGAGAAACTTCAGGGCTCTGATGTGCTGACATACCTAGCCAGCAGGCCAGAGTACACTGAGAATTGTGTGGCTACTATCATTACAGAGGTCCTCGATGCTCTGCAGTATCTTCACTGGAGGGGCTACTGTCACCTCGATATTCAGCCCGATAATATCGTGATGGCTTCTCTGAGATCAGCACATGTTAAAATTGTCGATTTTGGCACTGCTAGGAAGGTCTCCAAATTGGGGACCGAAGTACCACTCAAGTGTGGACATCATGAGTATAGGAGTCCTGAAGTGCTTAATGAGGAGTTGGCGTATCCTCAGACTGATATTTGGAGTGTTGCAGTGCTTGCTTACGTTCTGCTATCTGGGGTGTCGCCATTTAAGGGAGCTGATGATAATGAAACTAGGCAGAATATTTCATTTGTTAGATATAGATTCGAGCACTTGTTTAAGGAGATTAGCCAGGAAGCTACCAGGTTCCTTATGCTTCTTTTCAAACGCACACCTAGTAAGAGACCTACAGCGGAAGAATGCCACGAGCACCGATGGCTTATGCCCACAGAATTTATGATAAAAAAACGCGAGAGAACGTCTTTTTCCGGTGATAGATTGAAAAAGTATAACGAAGAATACCACGAAATGAAACGCAATTTTGTGTCGAAGAGTGACAATTTAACACAAGCCTTTGGAAGTCTTCGTAATTTGCATAGATCTCACAGCACAGAGGATGAATTGATCACATCTATCGACATAGAGTAAGATACAATTTCATTAAGATTTCTCCAGTAAATAGATATTTATTTATTGACAATGTTTTTAACAATTGCAAAAAAAAAAAAAAAAAAAAAAGGGCCATTTTTGGAAATAATTTCAAGGGATAGATCATCACATGGCACGGTTATTGGATTCGACAATTGTCTTGCTCTCATTCTGTTGTTTATTTTTTAAACCTTTTAAGAGACATTATCGCAGCCTCCATTGGTTCACATTTGACACGAGTGCATGAAAAACTGTACAAAAATGTTAATTATGGGATGAATTGCATGTTAATAATTTATATAATTTTTTTTCTTTATTTACAAAATGTTTCTTGGAAATAAAGACTTGAACGCTGAAAAATATTGATCTAGTGTCCTGTACATATTTTTTCTCCTTTCTTTCCATAGAAATAATTATAAAGTGATTAGCCGAGATAATAATTGAAACTCATATCAGTAAGACTAGCAATGGAATATTAAATACAAAATAAAAAAATAGAACTCACAGAAAATTGTTATAAATGGATTATAGATGTAGCAATGTAGGATGTTTCCGAGAATTTTTGAATCATCTTCGTGCATATTGACTCATATATTCTCGCACTTTATTCTTGAATGTCTCCTTGTCCTTTGAGAATTGTTCCGCCGCCTCTTTATTTAATGGGTCGTCGAAGTTGAGAAGATCCTATTGTGTACAAATTTTTACAAAGTTGTTTGATTTTAAAAATTCGTCAGTGAAATTGTGATGAAGAACATGTAGATCAGAGGTGGGCAACCTCAGCTCTTGGAACTACTCCAGTTCCCAACCTCCATTAGGCAAAATTGTCCCAAGCCATAAAGTTTATGGCTGCACCCCCTTCGGGCCCATGATGCCCTCCACGTAGGCGAGAGTAGTGGGGATATTCGGCAGAAACTTGGTGGTAGCAAAAGTGAAAAGTGAAAAATTTTCTATCTCTCTAATGATTAGAATTAAAATTAAAATTTTCTATCTCTCTAATGATTAAAGAGATAGAAAATTTTTCTATTTCACTTTTACTACCATCAAGTTTCTGCCGAATATCCCCACTACTCTCGCCTACGCGCAGGGCATTATGGGCCCGAAGGGGGTGCAGCCATAAACTTTATGGCTTGGGACAATTTTGCCTAATGGAGGTTGGGAGCTGGAGTAGCTCCAAGAGCTGAAGTTGCCCACCTCTGCTCTAATGGAAATATTTTTTCAATTATTGTTTTTTTTTTTGTTATTATCCTTCTGATTGGTTATTGGTTACGTTTATTCATCTTTATAAAAGAGGACTTTGTACCTTTCATAGATTTCTTGAAGTAATTTTGAAATTATAATTGAAATATTGTTTGGGAAACAATTATTAAATATTACCATGTTGTTAATAGACCTGAATTGACATACACTTTCAAATTTTTCATTTCTATATTTGCCGCTCTCGATGCCAAATTTTAATGAACAAATTTCTCACAATCTTTAATTGACGATGAAATATTACTTTCTCAAGTTCTTGAGCATTCCACATTCATTTACACTTATGAATATTGAATCTAAATCATCATCTTTTAATTCCATTTTTTTTTATGAAACAGAAAATGTCCAAACACGTGCATAAAAATTCAAACCATTTTGCCCTCACATTTCGATCACGTGCGTGCGCCATCGCTCGATGGTACCTTACCACACAAATATACGACAACCCTTGTAATCACGTTAGGTCCCTTACAATTGGAATCTTAATAATTTTATGGTTACAGCTCCGAGCCTACCTAAGGTTGCCCACCTCTGTTCTAGGACTATTACTAAATTAAAGAGAGATAGCCAAGTTGTTAACGTCATCTCTTTTTATATTTCGCAGAATAAAATAAGAAAGAACACTTGAAATTTCCTATAAATTCAGATATATATGTTAATACTTGAATGACTTACAGTGAATAATGAATTAATTCCCCAAACCACGTCTTTGAGTTTTCGAGTGGGTGCCCAACCCATTCCATCGAGACTGCTCTGCCTCAGGATGGATAAACAGACATCACCGTCTTCGTTAATATTGGGATGCCATAATTTTGTTATGCACTTGACTTTCGGTGGCTGATGGAAAATAATAAAAACATTAGCAAAAGAATGAAAAATTTTGAAGAATCGATAATTTACTAGAAAAAAAAATCAATTCAATGGAATAATCAATTAAATATACAATGGAAAAGTTTTGGGTTTGACTTTTCTGAATTTATACTGTATGATATGAAGATTATAGGAAGGATAAGATCATACGTACTGTCATGTTATACTCCTCAGGAATAGAAATATGAAATAAGAATGTACCCCCCAGCCAGTAGCCTTCATCAGGAGCAATGGCCAGATTGAATTGGTGCAATCGGTCGGGGTTATCAAAACTCACTTGGCAGGTGTTGGGTAATGTTTGTTCCATCTCCTGCACCTTGATATAACACGAGATAATATAATAAAATTACATAAATAGTTTATTAGCAGAAGAAGGTGAAGAAATTTTGTAAATAAAATTACCTCCTTCACAAGAAGTTTATCTCTAACTGAGATTCGCGTGTTAATGTCCCGTGCCTTAGTATTTTCAACATCCGTGTCTTTCTTTAACTTTCCTCTCAATGTGATCATGTTTCAATCTTTAACAATTCTCTGTGAAATCCAACAAAAGCATCCAATTAGCAAAACAATGAGTTTGCAGTGATGTTTCAATACTTCGATTGTGTATATAATTTGAAAGATTGGTTTTAACCTAGAAATCGTTGAAATAACCAGACTGAAAGCCGGAGTCTGGTGGTAATTGCTCGAATGATGATTAAACCGTAAGTTTCCAAAGATAAATAAAAACATGAGAAATATATGTGCTAATCTGAATTGTTGGGAGGAATATATGAAGAGAGATTGATTTGGTTGAGTACTTAAACCTAATGCTTGATAGGAATTACCAAAGAGGATTGACTAAATATACTATATATAAATATAGTCAATCCGAACTCGCGTCCTGTTTTACTTACTGAGACGAGTTCTGGGCTTAATTCTGTAGCCACCGCAATCGGGGAGCTATTCCAAAAAGGTTGACGTAAATATAGGCTCAATCAAAGACGATTGACTAAAGTAGAGGCTCAGTTCTGGGGAACCCCAACGGCATCGTAATACTGCACCCCAAGAGAGGGATGGCGCCACACGCAATGAAGATGTCTGAAGTATGATACAGGGAGGTATAGTTACAGAGCGACCGGCAATTCATAATAAGGGTGAGTTAGCCCTCGGGGCGTGATTTTTAATTTTTTCACTTTTTCATCAAATGGCAATTGGAAAATTTCCAAAAAAAAATTCACCATTCACGCAATAATGAAAATTCCAGGGAAAGGTGAATGGATCTGAGTTACGGAGGCCCCCGCGAGTCATAATAAGCGTGAACTA